ATCTTTTTGTTTGTTTTGATCTGGGGTTTTTTTGTTTGCTTTTTAAACTTTGGTTACAACCAAATAAGCAATAATTATCTGAAAGTTTAACATACCATTCTCCCTCAAGAATTTAAGAGCATCCAAATATCCCTGCTCACAGATCTCTCCGAGTACCTGCAAATATAGAGGAAATGAGTCAGACAAATAAAAAGAAATTTCAACTTCAGATCAACAGTCTGCAGAATAAAGAGCCACTTTCCTCCAACTTCCACTACTGTAAGAAAAAAAGCCACCTTAACAATTGCTGGAATACAGCAGATTCAGGTTAATATGGCTACTGCGATGATGCATCCGTGATCATGGACATTAACTTAAATTTCACTTGTTAATGATGCACGGAATGATGGCATTCAAACAGTTTGGAAGACTTCCCTCTCCTCTTGTTTCCTTGATTAGCTGTTCAGAAGCTGCTAGCAGCAATGAAACAGGTTGTTTGGAGTGTGTCAATTCCCCTCCTTCCCTCCCAGTGCTTCTCACTTCCCAAAGCTTTGAAAAATCAGCCGTGCAATTCTGATGCTCAGGCTCAGACTTATCTTTGCTATGAAAATATCTTTTACCAGATGCAATACCAACTCACTTACACAAGGATACTAATAAAAGAAAGAAAGAAAAAAAGCCTGCATAAATAGAATTTAGAATTTGTCTTGAAATGGTCAAAAAGCCCTCAGTTTAAATATATCTGCAGTAGTGAGAAAAATTGTTTCTTTGCTGTACTATATCCCAAGCCAGTTGAAAAGGTCTGGTTTTATTGTTTTATTTTTCCAATTTTAACAACAGCAATTCAAGAGCATTTCCCTCTTCAGTTCTGCAACCAACAGCAATGAGCAAAGTTTAAAGGCAACTTGCCTGTGACAAGTATTAATTAAGACCTTTACAAAACCACGAAACTTTAGAACTTCTAATTTCTTAGCAGGTAAACATGAAAGGACTACAAACTGACAGTTGTTAATTTCCCAGGGTTGATTTTATGACAGAATCCTGTGACAATTCCCAAATAAATACTGAAAGCCAGTAGCAGGATATGCATTTTTAGCCCAAAAGAGACTAAAACCAAGGAGGACATAGACAAAACATGAAAAAATAGAAACAAGATACATCCACAGAGAAGTTTGTGCGACTGGATGTAAAGCTAAGACACTGCAACTTTCTGGAAAAGCTTTCACGTGGAGAGATGAAGCAAAGGAAGGCAGGGGCTGACCTGGGGTTCAGGTGGAAAGAGCGCCTGTGTTAAGCGATAAAGGTTGCCCAGGCTGAACTGAATGCTGGTGTTGGTCACGTTCATCTCATGGAAGTTGGCTGACTTGCCCTTGGGACAGATGTCACACTCCCCAGCGAAAGGGGACACTGTGATGGTGTTCTTACACTCATAGTGAGGCAAGTTGTCACTGATTCCTCCGTCCACATAGCGCTACAAAAAGGAGTGGAAACAACACATCTCAAGGGCTGACAATGTCTGACCAGCAGAGTGCCCCACCCAAGAATGAAACAGCACTTAAGGCTGTAGCTTATGCCTGGTGCTCCCAAGCGAAATATTTTGAGTGGCATGATCTGTTCTCTAAAGCCAATAAACATTCCTACCTACAATTCCATAGGCAGCGCAAGCACATTCCCTTTGGGATTTTTCAGTATGTTTTTTAAAGATGATAATCCTACACAATGCGCAGAGAAAAGCAGCTCCACGCTTCAAAGTTCAAGTTCCAAGATACTAAACCATTCTAACTTAAAAGTACTCTTCATAATTAGAATTTGATAGAAAAGCATCAAAAAAGATTTGTACATAACGAAAGTGTGAGTAAAAATGGACAGTGCTTCAGAAACTTTGCCAAGTCACAGACATCTGTTGTGCTTTGTGGGCAAGTTCCAGGTTATGCTTTTGTCTCCTTCACACTGAATCACCCACTTCTGTAGTTTTAATGAATCACCACCTCAGACATTTTAAGATCCAAGCCCCAAAGTGCTCTGTTTTGGGGTAACTACTGTCTAGTGCAGCAGCTGCACTGGCTACAGACAGCCCCTCCACTCACTAGCAGCAGTCAGTTTTCCAGTGAGCCACAGGGAACTGGTTTGCTCCCATACCACCAGCTTTGCTGGTTCAGAGGCTGCATTTTCCTCCTTCCTAAAAGGGCAGCAAACCTAAACTGTAGGTCCTTGCCAAACATAAATGTAACAGAGCAGTGATTCGAGCAGGATCAACCTGGATTATCAGTTTCAGCTGCCCTGATACTCAGGCCCTGACCATTCTGAGAAACACATCAGGAATTTCTGAGAAATACATTAGGAATTAGGAAGAGGGCAGCTCATGGCCTGTCAGCTTCCCAGGACACCGTCTAGACCCAGCAGAATGCTGCTCCTACCAAACTTTACATGTGTAATGCAATCACTAAAGTACAAGTGAAATCCCCAAGTCCTTTGTGACATAAATAAAATACAACAGGTCTGGCAAAAGAGGACCCTTCTCATTAAATTATTCAAAGGTAGAAGTACATATCTGAGTCACTGCTCTACTGATCTAAATGATTTTCATGATTCGGAGTATCTGCTCAGCTGTTTCGCCAAGTCATTTTTTAAATCTAAAACCACTGCTGTGTTTGAAAGGAGTAAAAAAAAAAAAAAAAAAAACAAACAAAAGCCACCACAACCAAAAGCTATTGAATTGGCAGTTTGATACACCTCTTAAACGTTATCCTTAGGCCTTTGGTTTACGGTATATAGGCAGGAATGCTAAGCCATAAACAGCAAGATGCCCCAAAGTTTACATTTTTGACATTCTGTTGTGCTTAAGCCTATAGGAGTCATGCCAAGCATATGCAACTGTGGTATTCTTACCAAGTTACATCAAAAAATGCGTCCTAAGCATTAAAACCATCTCAAAATAATTCCAAATATTAAAATAATAGAATTGTACCTTCCTTTCCTCAAAATGGCCAAATAAAGCATCCCTTGTATATTTTTGTACTCTGAACTAATAAGCCTTTTAAAATAACATTGTTGTCTGGTGACAAGAACTGAACAGCAAGATTAGCCTGGATTCACCTAAACCTTGGATTTATTCCAACGTCCTGTTTTCATAACACCTTTAATCTAGAAGAGTTTAAGGAGACATGCAAGGTTTAGAAGTACAGATAAAGAAAATCCCTATACAGTCCAAGACAAAAAAAAAAACCCAACCAAAACATTTCACATCTATTCTTCACCTTTCAATACTTGCAAATTCCCTTGAGAACAGCGTGTAATAAAACACATTTAAAGTTTTCTTTCTTCCTTCCCTTCTCCTTGTGCAAGGAGCACCAGAATTGGAGAGAACGCAAATGCAAGTGAATAGAACAGGATAACAAAAAGCCACTGATGTCACTGCCTTGATTTGAAATGCAGATCTGCTTCCAGACCTGTAATTATAACACCTACAACAAACCATGCTAACTATCCTGCAGTTTCTGTCTCTTAAACAGGGGATTTTAGAGAGCCCAGTATAGCATGAAGTATTAAGAGGCTTTGTAACCACCAGTTCCTGGGAAGCAACAGAACATACTAATATACTGATATTTTACCTCTAAAAAGTAAGCTTTCTTACACTGAATACAAATGCCAGAAGTCATTAAAAAGCTTTGTTTGCACCTAACTGAACACAGAACTTTTATTCCAATTGTAAGGCAGGTCTCCCTACAGGCAGAACATGAAGACATACAACAAACTATATTACAAGATTTTTTTTAAAAAATTATAGGTGACTCTTCCTGTATATTTGTGCAGGTGAAAAAGCATCACTTCCTTCAATAAATATTTATCCACAGGTTACATACTCGTTATCTTATATCTTTTTATTTTATTAATGAATTTTAGGGGGCAGAGGAGGGACAGAGAGACAATATGTGTGTGTTAAAATACACATAATATCTTCCACATATTCAGTGTTCAGGTCTTTTTTTGGAAAGTTGTTACAGCTACAGTACTAGAAGCTATAATGAAGTTATTTACTTTACAGTAGGATAACAGAAAGCCCCACATGCATTCTTAATATTTTCAGAATAGCTAGAACTATTTTTAGATCTTAACAATAGAGACTTACCACACCTCTAAATGATGGTGGAATGAGACCACAATAAATAGGGACAAATGAACTACAGATTAAAGCCTGTAAGAAAATGAGACCATAAAAATTAAACGTTAACTGTTCCATTACTGACATAAACATTTATCTTTATAAAATAAATTTTTATTCACTAAGGCTATAGTTTCTTTAGATCCACTGCACTTTTAAGGCATTTTTCTTTTTTTATGACTGATCCCTTGCACCTCCTCCCTAAAACAGTTCACAAACACATTGACTGTGCAAAGCAGTACATGAATCTGGTGCAAAAAAAGCTTGAATTCCTCTTAAAAACACTGTCAGAGTAACAACACCTGAAATGCTCAAAGCAGAAACCCATCAGGTAATGTTAAAGGGACCTAGGATTACAGAAGTTTCTAAAAGTTGCCAAAAAGAAACATACCTGTATAACTTCTTCTTTAGAGTCAAAATTAGATATCAAGGCATTCTTGCCATCTGATACTCTGGTTAGCGAAATACACAGTCTGCCCGATGACAACTGGTGCGTGTTTTCTGGAAGATTTCTCATCAGCCCATCTCTTATTATCTTTATCACATTAAAGGAAGGATGAAGAGGACCCAGATTTCGCTTTCTAGCTTCTTTGGCTAATGCCAGAACATCTGCACAAGCCTGAGCTGGAAAGAAAATGCACTGCATTTAACAGCAGAAACACAACCCACATTTGGACTAATAAAGCATATCTAGAGCTCCAACTTATCTTAGTGCTAGAATGAAAATGCAAGAGCTTTTTAACAGATTAAGTAAATGTCCAACATGGTTAAGGAGTTTAGGAGTTTTCTGAGAGACAAAAAAATCAATTTAAACTTTCAAAAAGATCTCTTGGTGAAGATTAAACTATTAGGAATTAATCATTCCAGAAACACATTTTTTGAGGGAAAAAAAAAAAAAAAAAAAAAAGAAAAAGATGAACCAAATTTAAGGTTTCAGGGCACCATTTTTCCTCATTGATACATAAACATACTAAAGGGCACATGAAGTGTGATCTGGTAGGAATGCCAGGTAGGTGCATTTTTAAAGTAACAGACACATAATAATCTTTTCTCCAATTAAATCAACGTCTGGGAACTTCAAACCACTACAGAATACAGGACCATCCCTGAAGAACACTAAAATCCTCTCAACGTTTAGTCACAGGAGGAAGACCAGCTCATCCATCTGCAATGGTTTGTTTGAACTTAGAATATATTTAGAATGTCACATTTCCCCAGGACAAGCTTTGAGGAAATTGCTTGTCAGTTTGGTAGAAGAGCGGGGGGGAAGGTCAAAGTAACACCTTATCAACCTGAGTGACAGGTGTCTAAAAATATTTTCGGAACTTACATACTTGAACTTGCTAGAATAGATAAAATTCAATTTATCAGGTTAAATGTGAGCACTGCACTGGCAACAATTCTGCTTAAGCTTTTGAGCTCAGATTAATTTCCAAAAATACTACATTTCTACAATGTTATTCCCCCCTCAAATAGCAATAACTAAGCACTCATTATTCCCATCCAAGAGTCTATAACCAAAAGAGCATCTCTTCCATCTCTACAAAATCTGAGGCATCAGACACACTTTGTTTTTACCACTTCAATTGTTTCATTCCATCCTCACAGAGGGAAAATCTTGGGCCACAAATCCACTGACACAGATAGCCTGACACCAACCCCACCCCAGAAGACAGAAAACAATTTAGACACAGCTCACTGTTCATGGTCAAATATATGTTTATCTTAGTAAAACACATTTTACACGCAAATAAAAAAATTGCACAAGTCACATTCTGACCAGTGACAAAGTTACTTCCAAAAGCAGAATTAGGCAGTTCTAGCAGTTCTAATTTTCCCTGCATCCAGATACTCATTACCAACTTCCTTTTTTTTATTTAGCAATGCTCAATCTTCTAAACTTTCTAAAAATAGCTGTGTTGCAGGAGCCTGAGATACTAAACTACCAGAACTCTGGCCAGGAAGAGCAGTCTTGGAGCATATGCAATAATTACCATTTCCAAAATAAGTAGTTTTGAAAGCTTATGCACCAAGCAAGTCGCTTGCTTTTTCTAAAATACAAACCAAAAGCAAACAAATACATGCAATTTGATTTAGCAGTTACCCATTGTCTCCACATACAATAATTTCTATGCTCAAAGTAGTTCATAGGAAAAAAAAGACAAAAAAAAAAGCTGACATATTTTGTTTATTGTAACCTATTTTAAAACCCTGGAAGGGCTCCAAATCAAGGGAAAAAAAAAAAAACCCCACAACAAAAACAGGAGAAGTCTTATCTAACAGTATGTGATATTAAAACACTCAAAATTTACAAAGCTTTTTGTTAATAATTCAACAGACTTCAAAGTAGTCCAACTTCTTTCCCTTCTCCTTTCCTTTCCAACGGGACTAAAATACAGTTACCTGTTAGGGTGGTGTATTCCAAAACAGGAACTTCTCCAAAAGGGACTAAGGGCTAGAGCTCAAGTCAAACTGGGATTTTAGGCAGGTCTTGGTCCATCTGTTTTATTTTTGAAACACAAGAGAGCTAAAGAAATAAATATTCCTAATAGATGTGAACTGTTTTCTGTTATAGTTCTGCATTCCTATTGTTAATTGCTTGTTAACTATTCATTTGTTTCACTGAGTAAAAGCTGACATTGTATTTGCAGCCTGCACTAAACCTGCTCTCTCTAAGTGCCTCACTGGAATTGATGATCACAGCAATCTCCAGGACACCCAAGGAGTGCAACTTTAACATTCCAGTTTGGAATAGCCTGGAATGCACTTCATCCTCAAAACAACACTCATGGCTAAGCTTCCCAACCTCCCACAAATTTAGTGAGAGAAACCTCTTTGTCAGTCTATAAAAGTACACTTTTCTTCTCCATTCAATGGCTAATGATTGTATTTATCCACATTTGAAGTTCTACAGATGCATCACCTATCCAGCATGTAATCTGAGTCAAAGAGAAAACCCTTCACTTAAAACATCTGACTGCAAGGCTGTAAGAAATGAAATAAGCTCTTTGATTTCAGCCACAACCCCTGCTCACAGATTTGCAAACCCTGTTTTGTGCACACTGGCACACAGATCAGCCCAGGGCTCGGTCCTGGCAAACCCCAAACATCTCCAAGTATAGAGATCCCACAACCTCTCTGGGAAGCTATTCTATTATTTTACCACTCTCACAGCAACTGTCTTTTCCTTATACCTCATCTGAATTTACCAAGTTCCAGCTTATGCCTGCTGCCTCTCATCTTTCCTCTCACCTCTGGGAAGAGCTGGACTCTGTCTACCCACAGGAAAATGCAACTGTGATAAAAAAACATAGGACTTCCTAACACCTCCAGCTGTAGGAACCACAAATACTGCACATTAAAGTATATCAGAGTAAGAGAGGCATATGATACAAACTCACAAAGTATATCCTATTATCACTGTAAAATGGAGTTTCTTTACAGCTTATTTACCATCCTCTGCTTTCACACAAGCTCACAAAACATGGCAGCTAGAAACTCAGAGAATTAGCATGGGAGTACCTTATTAGTTTTGTCAATTTACAGCAATTCACAGATTTTAGAATGCGGGTTGTTTTGCATTATCTTGCAAGTGATGCCTTTGTTTGATTTTTCCCCCCCAGTAGAAACACACCTGCCCATGGAATCTGCTGCCTTGGACAGTGACCACACACATATTCTATTAGCTAGACAAAATCAAAAATCTCAGTTGGCATATGAGATTGGTAATAATTGGAAGAGGTAATAGTTTAAAATCTACAACTCTTAATTATTAAAGTGCTAAACCATTTAAAAGCTGTTATTAACTTATGCTGCCAAATAAACAATATATTTGCTGCGCTTAAGAGTGCTTCAAATATTCAAGACAGCTTCCTTCTCAAATAATTTACAACCACTTAAGACTTAAAACTGGGTATGTTCTAAAAATACCAGCTATTGGGGAAAAATATGATTTGTTTTAAAAGCTGATAGCAGGCTCATAATAACTCAAGTGCGTCATGTTCAGACATTACAGCAAAATTAAATTAAGCAGCACAAGTTTACTGCTAAAGCTTTGAAGAAATTAAGCTTATGTGCTAGAGCTCAGGAGCTAAAGCAGCAGGGACAAGCATTGCTTCCTGTACTTACAGAGAACTTCGGCTTGTTTTTGTCAGTGGATTTTTTCCTCAGAAATTTAAAAGCAAAACCCACAAACCTCTCCAAATTCAAAAGAGGTACTCACTGTTCTCCTCGTCTTCTAAGACGAAATCTGAACTTACAAAATTCTCTAGTTCTAAACCAGTCAAGGTTGCTGCTAGCAAAAACAATCAGTATAGAGTCATGAACTAGACAAGCTTACTCAGTGGATTCTTTTAGTTTAGAAAAACAATTTTCAGATTTTCAGGTATTTCATACAGTTTTTTAAAATGCAATCCTGTTGCTTTTCCTAAGCACCTTGATATTTTGATAGCTTTTATCAAGTTTATTAGAAAAATGTATATTCATGAGCCCTAAGTAGGTAAAAGTAAGGGGTATTTTTCGTAGAAAATAGGTGTGTATTTCACAAAGCACACTATATTCTGTTTCAAACTAACATCTTTAAGCCGGCATAAATACAACACCAAATTAACTCTATCGTTTAAATGACAATTAAAATCAGTGATTTCAATCAATCTACTGTTTCTAACCATACACCTAAGCGACCTTTGCAACATACACCGTGCCCAGATTAGAGAGGAAAAGCACGTTAAAGCTAACCTAAGCCTTGACCTTAACTCTCCTAGCCTTACCCCAGAAAGGAGCAGCTTTGGAGGAAGAAAGGCAAAGCTACCCGGCACTCCACGTGCAGGGAGATGCTCTAGTTCCCAACGAAGGGCAAACACTTTGTTTACAGCTGATGACGGGGCTGGCCGACTTGCTCTGAAGGGTGCTAGTGCTCGGCTGCCTCCCGCTCTCCCAGGTAATTCCTGGACTTTGGACAGCGGCGGTGAGAGCACCCCCTCAGGGGGATACGCACGGGAGGAACTCCGACCTTTCGGCTGCCCAAGTGCGCGAATCGGACCGGGAATCACCAGCACCATTCCCTGCGCCACGGACCTCGCTGGGATTTAATTCCACCGACGGGCACACATTTTAGAGGTGAAGAGAAGCAGAGAATCGGAGCCGGCCTGGCCCGGCCCGGCCCAGCCCAAGCCGGCCCGGCGAACCCCGCGGCCGGAGCGCTCCCCAGGGCCGCGCCCGCCTTCCCGCGCCACTCCGGGGCCTGCCCGCCACACCTGCCCCTTCCCTGCCGCCCGCCTCGTCCCGGCCCCGCCGCTGACCCAGAGAGCCGCCCCCGACGAGGACGGCGCCGGCGAGCGCCCCGGCGGAGGCGCCGTAGATGTGCCGCGCGTCGCGGATGACATGCGGGGCGCGCTCCTGCAGGCAGGTGGCGGCGCCAATGTGGTAGACGCCTAGGAAGCCGCAGCCGGCGAAGGACACGCTCCAGCCGCCCTCGCGGTCCAGCATGGTCGCCGGCGGGACACGCGCTGAGGCCGGCGGGGACAGAGCACTCCGGTGGCGGTGGCCGCTGCCCAGCAACTGAGCGCGCTCGGCGCAGCCGCCCCTCGCGTTACACGGCGGCCGCGCCCCCGCCGCCGGCCGCGCCGCAGCCAATCCCGAGCCGCTGCTCGATGGTACAAGGCGCCCCCGGCCAACTAGAGGGCAGATGCAAATCATGCCCCGCCTCCTCACGCCTCCGCCCTGGGTAGGGCGCGCTCCCGCGGTGCGATCCGCGCTCCGGTCCCTGCAGACCCGTCGGTCCCTTCAGGCCTCTCGGACCCCTTGCTTCGGGCAGCCTCCGTCGGTACCCAAGCCCCGCCTGGCTCCCAGTCCCCGCCCCGAGCGAAGCCGTCCAGAGGGGCGCGGCTCGCCCCCCGCGCTTCCAAAGCCGCACGGCCCAGCAGGGAGCTACCCAGGGCTCGACTATGAAAATAAAACAGAGAACAGCCCCTCTGAAATCCTTCAAGATTTAATTACCTCACTCAGGACTGCAGAAATACTCTTTAGCTACCTGCATGCAGCATTGCATCATAACAATGGGATGTTTTAACATCTCGGAAGAGTCCGAGTCCGTGCTTTCCAAGTGCATCTAGGAGAGGTTATGTTGTGAGACCTTTTATTTATAGAAAGCACTGCCATGAAGAGAGGAGAATTCAAGCTCTTTTTTAGTGGATTTGAAGCCATAATTCTGCCTCTTAAGTGAGCACCACAAGCACTAGGCCATATTTCCAGTTTTCTCTCTTCTAAGTAACTCTCCAGACACTTCTGTCTTGTTGGGCCATTCAGCTTCATCCATTCACCATTTCAGTGAGCAGAGCAGGGAGTGTCCTAATCCCAATCCTTCCTGTCTTAAATGTGCTTCCCATTATTTATGAAAAAGAATTGAAACCCTTTCAGTTCACAGGGAAGGAAGAAGCTGAAAAGAGAGATGAAACCAGATCTCACACTTTCTAGAAGAGCCTTCTTTCATAAAAATGTGATTGTGACTCCTGTAACTTTTCTATTCTCTTCTAAAGGAAAGGCCCAGCTGTGCTGTATTTTGTATTCACTTCATGTGTGCCCTCATGCCATTTACTCAGACCATAAGTGTGGGAGAGTACCATTTCTTAATCCATGTTTTGGAAAATGGACACCAAGGTGTTCAGAGAGGGACATTTCTGGACATTTACAGAAGTCTCACAGAACCAATTAAATGGTAGGCAAGCAGGGGATTTTCAGAACATTATCACATCAATCAGTTTTTCAGGGCTAAACTCAATTTTGCTGGTAGACATCAACTCTGTTTGAAAATGTTTTTTTTAATCCCTAAACTGTCACTAGAAAGCTGTTCCTAAACCACCTTTCCCGAACAGTCAGGAGGAGTCCTATTTCTCCTATAAAATGGCCAGTTCATAACTATTTGCTCCTCTAATTTGGGTCCTTTGACATTAGTACCTCCTGTATAACAATGACAATGGAAAGAATGCTGAGTTTTATTTCCTTTATCCCCCATTCTGTGACACTCAGGGAGCGGAGTTCCTCTGGCTTCCTCTCTTGACACAGGTGCTACAAATGCCCCCAACCAGTAAAGCAACTGATACTTCAGATGGAGCTTCTCTAGACCTCTACACAGTCCTTGCTAGGGAAGCTGAATCACAGATTCTGATTACTTGTACTGTGATAAACTGGTAAATCCAGGTCCTTCCCTATCTCAATTTATATCAATGTTTTTAAATGTATTGCAATTCCCTCAGTACACAATACCAAATTTGCTTGCAACACTAGTGTCCCACACATGCCCAGCCTTTTTCAGTATCTGTGTCTTCTTGGGCTGCTTCTAACAGATAGTGCAATTTCTCTACTACATCATCTCTAGCTTAGCAAATAATATCTCTTGCAAGAAAAAAAAAGGCAGCAAACAAAAAAAAATTTAAGCTGAGGTGCATAATGACAGGATGGATTCTATCCAAAAAGGTGATACAACCTTGTCACAAGTACTACCAACCTATTGCGATTGTACAAGATGAAGTTTTGAGATTTATATCAAGTTTATATCAAGTTTTTGATCAGGTTCATAGTTTATATTAAATCTTGTTGACAAGTATCAAGTCGTGTTTTTATCAAGTATCACTCCATGTACTATATGCTGCAATCTGTGTTGCATACACATCTTAAATCTTTTACTGAATCAAGGCCATAATAATTTTCCCATAATTCCAGGAATATGAAATAAGGCCTAAAAGGCCTCACGAGGCAATGTTTTTAAATGTATTGCAATTCCCTCAGTACACAATACCAAATTTGTTTGCAACACTAGTGTCCCACACATGCCCAGCCTTTTTCAGTATCTGTGTCTTCTTGGGCTGCTTCTAACAGATAGTGCAGTTTCTCTACTACATCATCTCTAGCTTAGCAAATAATATCTCTTGCAAGAAAAAAAAAGGCAGCAAACAAAAAAAATTTAAGCTGAGGTGCATAATGACAGGATGGATTCTATCCAAAAAGGTGATACAACCTTGTCACAAGTACTACCAACCCTACTGCGATTGTACAAGATGAAGTTTTGAGGTTTATATCAAGTTTTTGATCAGGTTCATAGTTTATATTAAATCTTGTTGACAAGTATCAAGTCGTGTTTTTATCAAGTATCACTCCATGTACTATATGCTGCAATCTGTGTTGCATACACATCTTAAATCTTTTACTGAATCAAGGCCATAATAATTTTCCCATAATTCCAGGAATATGAAATAAGGCCTAAAAGGCCTCACGAGGAAAATCAAATGTATTTCAGTGGGGTTAAAATCTACCAGGAAACTTGCATGCAGCTTGCAAACTTCTGTAATCAGACACTGACCCAACCCAATGTCTGGCACATAAACTCAACAGACATACCTTCTGTTTGTCATTTAACCACCCTTCATGCTTTCCATTTAGCAGCTATGTTAATTATGATACAGGCATGCCATTTTCCTAAGACGTGGACTAAATAAAACCTTTCATGCAAAAAGAGAGAAACTGATAGTGCACTTGTAAGGTGCCTTTAACTCCTTAGAAGAAAAGTACCATTTAAATACCTGCAGGTAGCTGAAGGCACATAATTTATGGGAAAAGGAGCCATATGGGATGGAGCACTAGCAGGAAGTGTCAAGCAGTACTGGACAGGTAACGAAGTATCAGGTCTGAGATCTTGGCCAGCTGTGTAAATCTTGACAACAATTTCTGTCATCAGACAGAGAAAGAGGTTCAAGAAGTTACTGCTAAGCCCTGCTTGGAAACAGCAAATGCATTTTAAAAGAGATTGATGTATCACAATGGCCTTTTTCATGGGGGAGGTGGAAAGGGATACAGTAATGAAGTTGGCCCAGCATCACTCAGCAAGTCTAGTTTCAAAGTTGGAGAGGAAGTCTGATTTCCTGAGAGATAAGCCAGATCTACAGCCTAGAACTTCTCCAGAAGGATAACAAAGCACCTGCTAGAACTTCTGGAGCCCAGGACACTTGCCAGTGCAGTCTGTCATGTGTGTGTGTCCTTGTCAAGTGATCATCTATCTAATCTAAAAATATCAAAGCCTCATTTCTGCCTAACACCTTTCTGGGAATGCTCTGCTGTGAAAATTTTCTGCAGAAACACAAAACATTTGTTGGCAAAGTTTAGGTGCCTTTAGTGAGTAAGGCAGCCTTGGCTCATGATAGAAAGCCTTGCTCTCCTCTGCCTAAGAGAATCCAAAAAGCAAAACCCCTTTGACACTCCCTTTGAGATCTCTTATGTGGGATGCTGCAAGTTTACTCCTCTTGTTTCAGTGCATGCAGGGGAGAAAGAATATGAGCTCTGCTGTCTTTGTTATTCAGGTAACTGCTGCTTATGTTCCTCTGAAAATGCTAATTTCTCACAGAAATTATAATCAATAACAAATTTTAATTCTACTCCTTTTATGGGATCATCCTACCAGGGCTGGATAAAATAAGATAAATTCTACTGGATAAGTAGCCAGGAGACTGTTAAACAGATTTTCCTCTTTAAAATGCATGAAGAACCACAGGGCAGGAGTGGAGAAGTGTTGAGTTACAGAGGGAGGTAAGCTGAGGACAAATACAGACCATAACCTGGACAAGGAATTCATTACATCCCTGGTGCCAAGGCCCCACGTGCACTTTCACCACCGGCAGGGCTGTACACTGGGGAGCAGGGACAAAGAAAGGACATTGAAATCATCCTGCCAATGGTTTTTAGTCTGTTTGCAACATCAACTGAAATCCTCTCTCTACACTCTATTGTAAACCTCACAGAGAAACTACACTTGGCACAAGCATCCTTCCTGTTCCATTATTGGCTTCCAGCTCTGTTCAAATTATATGGACCAACAAAGACTCAGGCACTTGGTGGGGATTTTTTTCTCTTTGCATGTCTTATGGCCCAAAGCTTGCAAAGTTTGCAAAGCTTGCAAAGGTCTCAGGTTCACTACTCTCAGGTTACTTTGGCTAGAGATTGTTTTAGTAAAAGCTGCTGACCTGTTTTTCTCTTGGGCCTGATCTTCTAACATTTGAGTATGGATTTGGGAGTTCAGGTTAAGGTTCTGGTGACTGTTTCTCAGTCATTATTTTTGTGTACAGTAAAGCTGAAGAAACTTGAGAGTATGAGCTCAAAAATTGTTTTGTACATGTCTGATACATTAGATGATGACAGTTTGAGCAGTTTTAGTGTAGATTCCAAACTTTGCAGCATAACCCTTTGAACTAAGCTAAGAGGTCTTTTCTTTGACTTGCAGTTGTGACTGTGGACTAACAGACTCCAGTCTGGGCAAAGATCTTCATCAGCTGTGAAGATCTGTATGAAAAGGGCAATACAAAACCTAAAATTAGATAGACAAAGCAACCTCTGGGGTTTTCCAGAGGTTTTTACCATGATCTTTTCCAAAGGAAAAGAAAATAAAAAATCAAGCATCCATTTCACATACCTTTTGCTAGGACCCAACACTATGTCATTATGTAGAGACAGAGCCCTGTGCTCTCTGTGGCTGAAGCATGGGGGTTGTAGGCCTAGCTT